ATCTGGTCCGCAGCTTTGCTGATGACAACTCTTTACATGCAGGAGAATTCAGAATGACAATCCGATCTCTGCCGGTGAGCTGGAGGACTAGCAGCAACTTCCTCTCTAACGAGAGACCTCGAGGATATCACTGCCTTAGGACGCAACAATCTGGTACAGTTTAGTGCTTCCAAAACCCAGTAGTACACCTTGACTAAAAAGAAACGCCCTAGCGCACATCCGATTTTGATCGATGGCCGAGTTCTACCAAATAGCCATTTATTTTATTTGGTCGAAGTTCAGATCATCGAGAACTTAATCTGGTACAAACACATCTTGTCAATCGCGATAGCTGCTGGAAATAAGCTAGGCTATTTATTTTGGGCTAAGAAGTACTTTTCTCCAGATAACGTCCTCACTCTGTACAAGGTCCAGATAATACCTAGCCTCGAGAACTACACACATGTTTGGGGTGCTGCCACCCCAACTACATTATCCATGTTCGATATTGTTCAGAGGAGGGCTGTACGTGTGATCGATGAGTCTCCTCTAACGAACAGCTTTGGGACCCTTCCGCACCGACGGGCCGTTGGCGATCTAGCTGTTTTCTACTGCTATGCCTTTGCTTCTCAGAACTCTGGGACGTAAATCCAGAACTGGGCAGTACGACCGCTCCCTTTTAACTGGGGTATCGACATTGTGACGCAATCTGTTTGAGGGCATTTTTCCAGTTGTACGTAGCTTAGGCAATTCAAAACTCGGATTAACAAAGCGCCTCTAAGATCATCATAGCAGCCGCGGTGCCCTAGTATTTAGCATTCTGCCTACACGACTACATCTGTATAAAGAAATGAAATAATATCATCAAATTATTTACTTGAAGGTTGGATTTTTCAGTGTTTTGTGTTAAACGTATTTGAGTTGGAGAGTTATTCAGAATGATGCGTTCTAGGAATTGAATCAGTATTTCACTTGCAATGATACATTCTAACTAGTCATACTTAACCACATGAATGCTTTTGAAATTACTGCCAAAAGGACTGTTGATTCTAATAGTATTGCTAAAATTATCGGGCTTACATAAATTCTAGGCATCTTCTGGTTTCAACATGTTTGTGCTCCTGATGTTTTTAGGTTGTGACCCTACTGAATAACTCCTCTTTCACTGCACCTAGGATCTACCGGACTCAAAAAACTTACAAACACGAAGTATAAGAGACTCTACAGTTCTTTATTTTTTGCTTGTAGGTCCACCGCCGATGGGCAAAACCTATGATGCCTGTTCATCCTTATCATAGTACAATATTGCATGAAAGTTTCATCAAAAGTCTTTTTTATGGCTGTGGAGTGACGAAAACTGATTGTTATACCGGTTAGCTTTAACCGTTCGAGTTAAGTAAACACAAAGTTAAATAACTCATTTCAGTGCATTTGCTGAGCATGTCTTGTTGAAAAACGTCGTCAATTAAGGTGACTCTGTACTTCCTACCCCACGCTGTCATCACTGCGTAAAGCATTATGTTTGGCACGTATTCACCCTCCTGAGAAAAAAGTACGAGAATAACACAAAATTAATTGACCTTCCTCCTGCCCCTGGGCGGAATTGCTGCACGTGCACATGATCTTTGCGATGACCAATCCCGAGTGAATGGCGATATTGGCCTTCACCATGCACAGTTCACGCAGTCCACAGTAGTGTGGAAGAGAGTGCCGACTGTGGATTATGACAAACGACCACGACGCGTATCCGTCGGAGGTCGACTATAGGAAATATTTCCAAGTTTTAAGAGTAAATGTACGGGGATATCTATGATGAGTGAAATTTGCCTAAGATGTGCGTAGAATTACACCTAAAAAAAATTTTCTCGATCGTCTGAAATGCCAAGAAACAAAGTTTGCGCGATTTTCCCCGTCCATGGCTTATTTCTCCGCCGCCACTGAGCATATTTTCAAAAACTAAAAAGCTTTTGCGACCTCGGCATAGTATTAACATGGTGTAAAAATTTCATCGAAATCCGAACGGTATTTCTCAAGTTATAGGCGGTTATAAGATTAGCGGACAAACCGACAGACCGGCTGACAGACCGACTGACATACAGACAAGTGACATGGTTTTTCGTGATGTTACATCCATAAAACATAATGTACCATTTTCGCGATTACAATACGTCCCCGTCAGTAGGCGTGGGAAGTGAAATCCATTTTGAAAAGTATTTAGTATTTCATTGTTTGACTGTATCATAATTCTAATCTATGCACATGTGTGGGAACCTATTGGACTGTGATATCCTATACGCGGATACCGAATACCGCTGCGGGCTGCGGCCACATAACGGCGCGGCGGCGCTTCGGCGCTTATTTTTAGAAGTTCGGAGCTTCTTAGAAACTCGTGTGGCTGTTATTAATTAAAACCGCCTGTTTCTTCTTCTCTTATAGATCTAAAAGCGCCAAACAAAAAGTCTCAGATGTTGCCGATTTATACGCGTTCTACGAAGAATGTCAACTGCCGACCAAATGACGAAAAATTGGGACATCAGGATTAATGGTGAAGTTTTTACTTGGGAACCATTAAAAGCCATGTCAATGCAAATATCCAGTGTCTTTTTGGGATATAGAGCTTCAGAAAAAATAAGACAAAGAAATCGTAATCGTAAGACTGGCCAAATAAAGAGCAGAATCTGGAGATCAGCTTTCAATCACCTTCCAGAGTATCGGAAGTCTTATAGAGGGTGTTATTTGTTAACTTGCTAATACTCCAGGATATGACCCCTCAAATAAATTTGTGGAGGAAGGTTTATATGAACGTATATGTCCGCAGTGGCGTACATTTTTGACTGTAGAAAAATCATTTTCATTTGTTATACTACTTTAACCTTTTCATCACTGTCGGGACATACTATATCCCAGAGCAAAGAATAAACTACTATAAGACAAATACGTCCCAAAATCGCATGTGATATGAGTGATCCAGTAAGCTTGATCGTATAGCAAAGATATAGGTTAACAAAATTCCCGCCAAAAGTGTAGTGTATCATGCACGTATTGTGAGTGTGCACATGTACCCCGATATAATAGCCTTAAAAACAAAAGAAATATGAAATATTTATTTTCTACGAGTTGTCAAAAATACAAAGAACTATCAGGTAAGCGAGGTAGTGAAATATATACATTCTAACAATATTGTTTCAACATCAAAACACTTGCGGGACGTATGTGCCCCAGAAATAAGATTCAACGGGACACAAAATCCCAATAGCATATACAGGGTGTTTCAGTTTATCGTTGTCTAGTGAAGCATGACTCATCGGTCCATAAAACGTTACTTAAAAACTTCCTATTATTATCAGTTCTATCAAGAATCCACTGACAAAATGTGATTCTTCGTTCTCCGTCCCCTGGCTGTAGTCCTTGCACAGGTTGCAAATGGTAAGGACGTCTATGGTCATTTCTAAGAACACTGTGAACATGGCTTGCTGAAATTTTCAAGGCACCAGAAACTCTCCTAACACTTGTGGTCGGATCTCTATCAAACTCACGCAGAATCATACGGGTAAATCTGCGCTGACGAACATTTATGTTTTGATCCCTTTCCAGATTTCCAAAACCATTTTCAATTATTTGGCGATGCACTCTTACAAATACTGAGCGAGTTGGATGTCGTCTGTTTGGAAATCTTCGTGCGTATTCTCTGGCTGCTTCTGCTGCGTTTCCATTTACAAAGCCATACACAAAATGAATATCCGCTAACTCTTGATTGGAGAATAAAAAAAACCGGTAAAAGAAACTAAATTTCGAGCATTCACAATTTCAAAAAAACGTTTCAGGTTTCAACAGACATCAAAACTAACTGTCAACTAATTGACGTTTAACCTTATTCTGCTTTCAGTTTCAAAAGTATTTGCAGGCACAGCCTACTTCTAAGAATTATCGAGATACTGACTTTTTAACGTTATTTTATCATAAATAATTAATTAAAAATGCATCGAACCTTAAAAATCGAAATATCTCAAAAACGGCTAACTACTCGTATAACAAAAATTCACAAGAGAGCTTTTTTATGTTTAAAAGTGCTAAAAATCAGTTTTTTTTATTCAAAAAGCAAAAAATCGCACTAAGAAAAAATTTTCGGTCATTTTAATACACTACAGGTACAGTAGAGAGCGCCCTCTAGCGGCTACAGTAAAAATGCCCATGGTTCGTTTTGTCGTACCAAAAAACCCTTGTATACTAATTTTCACTGTTATACATCAAATATTGTTCGAAATATTTAAAAAAAAAACTATTTTAGAAAGTAAATTTAAACACCCTGTATTTCGGAAGCCACGCATTTTTCGACGCATGTTTGTATAGACTTTATGCATTAATTTTAAAAGTTCCATCGAATCTTAAAGTTATGCAACAATAAACTGAAACACCCTGTATAATAGCAAAGCATTTTCTTTATTCTTAAGGATGAGCCGACGTTTTCTAACACAAAAGGAACTAGAAAAAATTCTGCTTCTGATGAAGGCAGCGATTTTATTCCTTCCGAAAACGAAGAATCTCAAGGTGCACACGTAAGAGTCGATTTGCTAGAAACCGATGAAGAACATGGAGACGTAGTAGAAGATGATGATCTAGAAGATAATGTAGAAGCTGAAGGTGAGCGAGTGATTGATTTTCAATGGATCTCAGTTGTTCAAAATTTTACTCCAAGAAAAATTATTCCTGTTGAAAGAGGAGGAGTGCCTACTGAAGATCTTGACAGATCATCAACCGAGCTACAGGTGTTTTTGAAACTCTTTCCTAGAAGTTTACTTATTCGCATAGCAGAGTGCACAAATGAGCGCTTGGGTATGTTGAAATACCAAAAGTCAAAAACGGATCAACATAAGATACTGTTTGTCCTTGGATATACCCTAGTAATGAGTTATAATCGCGCTCCCGAGTTCTACAATTATTAGTCATTCAATGAATCTCTATCAAACTCTGTCATAAAAAAAGCAATAAGTAGATATAGATGCACGCTCATTCTTTCGAAAATGTATTATACTAAACCGAATAAACCTGAATCATCATCCAAAACTTATTACTTGGATGAATTAGTTGAATGTTTGAAGAAGAGGTTCCAGAAAGCCAGAACTGAATGTTTGCATCAGTCAATTGATGAAACGATGACTAAATTCAAAGAAGGATCTAGTCTAAAACAGTATCTTCCCATGAAACCGATAAAAAGGGAATCAAGCTGTGCCAAAGATGCGATTCCAAAACCGCATATGTTTACAACTTGAATATATATTCTGGTGAAGATGTCGAGAAGGTAGATGGCACCCTTGGGGAAAGGGTAGTAAATAAGCTAACAGGGACCATTCACAAGATGTATAGATTTTTACAAGTGTTCATTTAATGGCAAATTTACCATTCGCATGTGTTGGCACGTATATGACAAATCGAAAGAACACTCCAAAATTCGCTGTGGCAAAGATGTAAAGAGGAAACTGTGAATTTCAGTATTGTAATAAAGGTATTATCGCAACTAGATGGAAGGACACAAAAGAAGTTTTTGCTATGTCTAATTGTCATTCGAACGAGGTGAGCTCTATGAAAAGAACACTCATCAGTGGAGAGAAAACAGAAATTGAGTGCCCCAGCATTGTAGAGTTTTATAACAAATTTATGGGGTAGATTTAACGGATCAGAAAGTATCCACCTACGACCTGGACCGCAAGTCAGCAAAGTGGTGGCGAAAGGTGTTTTACAAATTGTTTATGACTGCAGTTGTAAACTCTTGGATCATATATCAAAAGATAACACATAAAAAAATTCCACTGATTACATTTTTAGTACCGTTAGCCGAGCAAATGATTGGAGCAGGTAGGGAAAATGCAGGTATCAAACGCCGTTTCAGTGGAAAATGTGGCCCTAGATCAAAGCGACAAACGACAATAGTCAATGTTGGTGATCACTTACCATCTGAAGGTCCTTCGCGAAGAAGATGTCAGCAATGTTCCAGAAATAACAAAGCGACAAGAACGAAATTACTTGCAACATTCGACTATGTAAAAAGTTTTTCTTGTTATGTCATTCATAAAAATAAAATAATCAATGTTATTTCATTACAACATGCCTGTTATTTTCACCACTATAGGGACACACTCTCCTAACCATATCTACTAGTGGTACATATCGTCCCAGGATATTTTCAGGATAAGCAGAATATTTTCAAGGAATTTATTGCAATTATCGTTCATTATAGTCACTATTTTACTAAGAAATATATATTTGAAACGAAAATTTATTAAAAACATATTCAGTGGTGAAAGGGTTAAACAATACTTTTACTTTTAGCACATTACAAGTGATATGACATATTTTAGTTTGAAGAAAATTATCCCATTGCGCCATGAGTTCAGCAGTGGGACTCTGTGTCACATGGAATTCCATCAATTGATTCAATTCCATACAACTGGCACTGCGTGTGCAAAAATAGTCGCATGAAAGTGACAAATACTGTCGCTTGAAAACCAATTGTCTTGACGTGTGGAATTCTACGGAAAAAAGCTTTCTAACCTCACTTTGCAAATGCTTTGCTGTATGTATATGACCTGACTGCGTCTTCTTCCGAATATTGGCTTTAAATTTGGATCAATCATGAGAGTCAGACAAGAACATTGGAACTTGCTACTCGATATTTGCGAAAAAAAACCCTGAGGTGGTCAGTAATAAATTTAATTGACCTGATGGCAAAGCAAAGGGGCATGAACTGTGGCAAAACATTACCCATCAACTGAATAGTTTGGGATTTGGCGAAAAAAGCAAAGAAGATTGGAGAAGGGTAAAAGCTTTAATCAACAATATTTAATTTTGCAGTTAATGAATGTATTTAATAGGCTTTGATTGACTGGAAATGTAAAACTAAAGCTAAGGCATGAAAAATCAAACAAGAAATTGTGAAAACTGGTGGAGGACCAGCAAATTATGTACCTCTCTCTGATGCAGAAAAGCGGCTCCTCAGCCTTATGGGAACAAAGTCTGTTCAAGGAGATGATGTATGTGAAATGGGCTTTGGACAGCTGAGTACTTCATAATGCTACATTAAAAAAGATTTATATGAAGATAAGTTTTGGGACATAGCATATACTATAGAGATAAAGCTTTGAAAATACTGTATTTCATTATAGGTAACCGCAATATCTAATACAACAGATGTATTTAACTAAACAATGGAAGCATCAAGCTGCAATGTGATAAATCAAGAAAATAGACAAAATGATAACATCAAAACATTACCTGATCACAATTATGCTCCAACTAATACAAAAACTCCCTCAAGAAAACGTCAAAGAACACCATATCAGAGAACTCACCAAAGAAATTCAAATAGATTAGCAACAATTACTGAAGAATCACTCCAGGTCCTCAATAAAATAGAAAGTAATACCCAAAGTATTGCAGAGTCATTGAAAATACTTGCTGCTGTTGCACAAACAGCATTTTCAAAAGACAGTTTCACTACATTTTTGTAATATCAAACTAGGCCATATAATCTTCATGAAAATTTATAATAAAAAGTCTAAAACATATTTTGTGTATTCATTTATTATCAATTAAATGAAGACAATTCTCTACAAGAAAGTTGAAAAATCTAAGATTGAAGGAAAATCTTGTCTTTTGCCACTCAAACCAGTGAAAATATTACGTCTTGTCGATCGAGGTAGCTGCTGGAAAAAAACTAGGCTATTTGTCTAGAGCCTGGAAGTACTTTTCTTCACATAACCTCCTCACTCTATACAAGGCCCCGATAAGACTTAGCCTCGAGTATTGCTCCCATATTTGGGGAACTGCACCTCCGACCACATTATCCATGCTCGATGCTGTTCAGAGAAGGGCTGATCGATGACCCTTCTCTGATGGACGGTTCTCGAGACTCTGTCGCATCGACGGGATGTCGATGAGCTCTCTCCTACCGCTATGTCAACGGGATCTGCTCCTCGAAGCTCGGCTCCATGATGCCACCGCGCGACAAGCCTGTCAGACTTTGGCCTCCCATCCCAACTGAGTACGTCCAGATTTGGCCGGTACGACAGCTCCTTTGTGCCCAAGGTTTTGAGACGGTGGAACAATCTGCCTGAGAAGGCTTTTCCCTGTTCAACCAACCTTAGACAGTTCAAGGGTTGGATGAACAAGTTGTCTGTGTTTTTGGTCAGTGATGTACAAGTCAATATGGTTATCCTTGAAGTTAGTCTTGTAGCTGTGAAAGATAAGATTTCTTCTAGAAATGGCAAACACAAGGCCAGCCAAATATACAACATAGAAATAAACATCACCAAAAACTACAAAGAAGTCAAAAACTTTCATGTGCCTGTGATTTAACATTCCCGCTAAGCCTTGATAAATAAAAATGTGATTGTGCTGACAAATGTGTTGATCAAAAAATTATAAATTGTCTTAGTATAAAACACATACACATATACAACACAAATAAAGAACTTCAAGTCACTTGGAATGACGTCAAGTAGGTTGACCTGGTACCTAAGTATTGCTATCTGTATTTGCTTCAACACACTTCAAGTAAATGATTGTTACGAGAATCGACGAATTTTGGAAAAACTGAACACAGAAGCTGCCAAATACGACTCAGAACTGGAACAGAAATTATAAGTTCGATTTGCGATATCTGCAATTGAAGGATCCGCGCTTGATTTCAAAATTTTAAAGCAACTTGTGGCCCAACTTAAGAAAGATCAATTTAACGATTTCTTAGATGTTGACCTCCATCAACTCTCTTCATTACGTCCAAAAAGAGTCAGTAACTTGGAGGCCAAACTAAGCTTATTTACATCTAATCATTTTCTTTTTAGCAATTTCTCCGCCATTTCTGGCGGTAGTAGTAACTTTTTGCCAAAATTTCATCAAAATCTGAGCACTAATCTTCAAACTAGCGTATTTGACCTCATTGCTTTTCCAGACAAATCATCTCAAGGACCCTTGCTATAGTTGGAGTTGCCATTGTAATGCCTTGGGGCAAGAACCAGTCAGCTCCGGAGCTGTCCAGTTCTTGCTCATAGATAGAGCTGTTTTCGCAACTGCAAGAATGTGTAGTGGTACTTCTAGCGTTATTTAGTTTGAAGCAAGGGCCAAACTGCAACTGAAAAATCCCTTCATCTTGTAAAAGCCTTTTACACCTCGCTGAAAGAAAAACCCACTCAGGCCCGAAATGAAGAAACTTTTTTTTATACTCCAACTACCACGAAGGCCTAAGGCCTAAACACCCATGGGTACCGTGGGCCTATAGGTGGATACAGGGGACAGGGGGAACGCCACACGGACTCTGGCGAGGGAATACGTGTGCATGCAACATGCACACATTCTGGCCCCGCCTACGAGATCCGCCGGGTGGTACCTCTGCGTTCGACAGTCAGAGACCGTCTACCACCTACGAGGTCGGTATTGAGGTCTAATGCTTTGTCTACCAGCAGAACGTGCCTTTACCCTATACTCCGTCTGTAGGCGTATTTTGTATACGGCAGTTGTGGGTTTATAATGTTTGTGTTCATTCCGCGAAAACTTCAAAGAAATTCACAATCGTACAAGTGAGCCAGGATATGATCTTCAACTTCACCCAACACTTCACTAATCGTTTTAAAAAGAATGCCGTATTTTCAAGTATGGCGAGTCTTCTTTTTCTTATTACTCGTCAATGAAATTTCGTGAGAAAGTTATCGTTTCATTTTTGATGTAAGACTACCCCTCATTGCCAAAAAAGTTAATTTGTCTGGGTATAACACCTCTAATGTCACTGAGTATATCTAGACTAGTTTTATCTGCTTTAGTGTGTCCTACCTGGACTGTGCTAATGTCGCGCATAAGAATAGGCATCGTACACGGTTGGTTGGACAAACATTTTTGAACCAGTATGAACGCACCTACATGCAGATTGTAACGTGTTGCCTCATTAAGCGAAAAGTCATGACCCACAATGAAAAATCTGTTTAATGCATAGGTTTTTACAGAAGGCATTATTATTCATTCATCCCACACCACTGCAACGTGTCATCCTACTCAAAATAATTAAATTAATGCAAAAATAAAAAATAGATGACTGAACGAGAAACAGCCTGTTTGCGACAAAGCTTATCGATTTTTAGCTGTTGTGTTCGTAAGGGAAATTAATGGGTTCTATTCGGTAATAGACGCCCCAATCGGATTCATTTGGAAAAGTTAATAGGGTTTTTTGTATCGTTTTAAATGTTCACGCGGCCTATCTAATTCAAAGGTTTTTGAAACATACACCAAGCTCTGAATGGTTTTCGAATGCAATTAAAAAACTCATACTGCTAAATGCCGATTCAGTGTGAGCGTTTGATAATTACTTGTGTGTCAGTTTTATCCTTAATATTGCATTTACATACATTGCAAATCCTTATTTTGCAATTTACATATTTGTATAGTGCACATGTGACATATTTTTACATTTTTTTATATCAGAGCTGACAGCAAAATGTCCGCATCCCCCGAAATATCCGAATTCATAAAAAATTTTGAGCTTTAAACACATAAGCTGTATTCGTTAAGCTCCGTTCGCGTGTACAAGTACCTGCTATGAAAAGACTCCATTTTTATAAATAAAATTATTTTATACCTTACTATATACGAGTAATATTATCACCTCACCCATTTCGGTACGCTTTGCATTCAAGATAGTGAATTCGAACAAAATTACTTGTCAGTACATTTAAGTTGTGCTCCACAATATATATGTGTCATGGTATCTTCTAAGCCCATATTGTGTCTATTGAGTAAAAAAAGAATTGTCCTCCAAGTCAAATCTTGTAAGGGTAAGTTCATACTTATAAGCACAAGGTGTTTCTCATTTTCATTTGAATAAAAGTAAGTTTATTCTTAAAAGTTAATGCTGGAAATGTCTCGTACATGCAAATTTCTTCTTATAAGTCTTTACTTATTCCCTATCATAATTGTAAGTATTTACTTGGATATGGGTGCTAACGGTTGCGCCTGCAAAACAAGTCGGTATCTTTTGATACGGTGTCTACAATGTTAGTTGTCGATCAAGATTTAGAGGTATTTCTATAATCATGCCGTCGAGTGAGGACGAATTACCTATCCAGATTGGCTGACAGATACTTATATTCGCCAGGTTTTGAAGAAATGACCAAGTTCTTTTGAATAAATCAATGAGTCCGTCGATTATTCAAGTTAAAGGAAAGGCATGGACGAATACCAAAAACGAATTTGTCAATAACATGGCAACAGATGTAAAGAAAAACACTGATAAAAACACGGCTGGTAACAAAAAAATTAAACCTCGTGAGTGGGAAAATGAATTCTCGAAAATAATGAATTATGAAAAACATCCAGTGTTCCTAAAAATTAATGGGGGTTATTTTATTAGAAGTAAAAACGGAAAATAGATACTCCCGAAAGTAATGGATCAACTAGTATGAGTTCACAGTTACCTCCTTTACCTACAGAAACGATAGACAAGCGTTCAAAGGAGAAAAAATTCAAGGAAGAAACTGAAAAAACCGAAAACTTTTCAACACAAGAGTTACAACGGCTTGTTCTACTTGAACAATTAATGTTGCTAGATTTCAGGCGAAAAGAGAACAACTCGTGACAGAAAAACTGGCTTATGCTGTGCCATGCTACAAATGGTTTTGAGAAAGAAGAAAATACTGGCGGTATGATGAACGAGTTAGGCTGGGCGCATACATTCGTTTTCCGCGTTCGATTTCCGAATTTGTTTTCCGTATTCGAAGACCCGAATGCATCAAACGCTAATAAAATACATTGACTGTCGCACACGTTTGTTTTTTTTTCGAACGATACGTACGTTTCGGAAGCAAGCCCGTGCGTTCATAAAAACGGAACGGATAAAACCTAGTGACGTCACACGGACGCAGCACTGGCATACATTTGTAATGCACGGCCGCACACAGTCGGAAATTTCCATCCAGAACCGTGCAGTTACGTACGTATTGGACATCACGTCGTTGCATCAAGAGCTCGAATGCATCAGGATAATGTGTGAAGCAGAAGAACTAACATTGGCGGTTGAAAAGCACTCCTGCTTGTGGAATATTCATGACAAGGACTACCACAATAGAGATGTCAAAGATTTGGTGTAGGAGCAAGTTTTCAAAGAGGTTATCCAAGATTGGAACTCGTGCACAAATGTGAAAACAGAAAACAAGAGTAAAATTACTTTTCTTTCACTTTTATTACAAAGACAATTGCCTATTGTACTTTTATTGTTGTAAATTGGTAATCCTTTCATTATATAGGTATGATATTTCTACTGTCGGCGTCATGAAGTACTGAGCAAACCCGTCTCTTATGCTTCAGCCTCGGTTTGTAGATCTATGTTGTGTAACCAGAGATAATCTCATCCAGGTATCTTGCTTCCTTAATTGATCACGTATGCCATTATCAAGTTCATCGAACGATTGTATTGACATCCTGTAGAAATCAAAGAATTTATCTGGATGTGCTCGTAATTTTGTTCTTTTTAGATAAAAGACTCTCGCAGATTTTCCGACTGTTTAACGGATGCACGCAATACCGATGTTTCTTTTTCGTCTTTCTTTATAATGATAATAGAAGTGCAATCGCAATTAAATCGTCGTTCTCCATCGCCAAGCATTCACAGAGCCGCCACTGAACGTACTGGTAGTATAGGGTGATTTTTTGAGAGGTATAGGATTTGATTTTCAAAAAAAAAACATAAAATTTGAAAAAACGATTAAATCTTTATTTGAGTCGATAGAACGGTCGATATAATTTAATGTTTCATGTAAATGTTGGCCGCGGCTCCGCTTTAGATGGCCCATGCGCAAAGTCCAATTTTGGCACACTCTCCAACATATCGGCCGGTATCTCACGAATAAATTCTTCAATATTGGCTTCCAGCGCGTCAATCGTTCCTGGTTTATCCCTGTAGACATTAGCCTTAACATGGCCCCACAAGAAATAGTCCAACGGCGTTAAATCACACGATCTAGGCGGCCAATTGACGGGCTCCAGACGTGAGATAAACTGTTCACCGAACTCGCCTCTCAATAGGGCCATTGTTTCGTGTGCGGTGTGGCATGTGGCACCGTCTTGTTGAAACCACATGTCAGCCAAGTACGGCCCGATGATGCCACCGGCCCATAATCCACACCAAACAGTGATGTTTTCTGGATGCATTGGTAGCTCTTGCAATGCTTCTGGCTGGTCTTCACTCGAGATGGGGCAATTTTGCTTGTTAACGTACCCATTCAACCATAAATGAGCTTCGTCGCTGAACACAATTTTTCGATAAAAATGTGGATCTTCCTCCAACTTTGCCAGCGCCCATTCACCAAATGGGAAACGTTGTGGGAGGTCATGTGGCTTCAATTCTTGCACCAGCTGTATCTTATAAGGTTTTACACCCAAATCCTGTCGCAAAATTTTCCACGTAGTGGAGTAACAGAGGGCCAACTGCTGCGAACGGCGGCGAATCGACATTTCACGGTCATCACTAACACTGGCGGATACAGCCGCAATATTTTTTTCAGTCCTCACTCTACGTCTGCGTGTTGGTTGTTTAATGTCCAATAATGTAAATTTAGTCACAAGCTTCCGAATAGCTCACTCAGTAGGCCGACCAAACTGCCTATAAATTGGAAGCAGTGCTCGATGCACTCTCTTAACCGAGCATGAATTTTGATAGTAAAAATTCAATAATTTGCAAGCGTTGTTCGTTCGCAAGTCGATTCATGGTTAAATTATAGACCAAACTGAATAAGTTTGACAATGACACAAGACACGATTCACGCGTCATCTGTCAAAAACAGTGTTGCCAAAAAGATACTAGCAAACAAATCACCCATTATAATATTCACTTCAAGAAATTGTACGTTTGCGCTAGACTCACGGAATTCCGAACTGGAATTCGTGATTAGGAAACCGTATACAGAAAACGAATGATGAGAATGAGAATTCATAGATTTGTAATATACAAATATGTATTTCATTTCTCATTTCAACATATTTTTTTGTTTTGTATTCAAGGATTCACTAAATTAAATACAACTACAAAAACTCTTTCAATTATTTTGAGGGTTTTTAAATAGACACAATGAGCAATTCCATATCAACTATCTGCGAGAAGGCAAAAATTACCTCGAAATCTATCCATAATTTCATACATTGAACTTCGTTTCCAAATTTTGGAATCGTGAACGCTTCCAGGCCCCTGACTATATTCACTTGTAATCACTTCATTTGCATCACAAGTTAGGTGTACATTTATACTCGCAAATCATTTTCTATTGACATATTCGTCACCAAAATCTGAAGGTTTTTTGATTTTCACATGAGTACAGTCTAATGCATCGATGACCGTAGGTATAACAAACTGATTCGACCATTTTGTTCTTGCTTCTTCCATGCTCTCAAGGTCAGACGGGAACTTTATCCACTGATGGACTTTTTCAAATAATCTGTCAGCAACATACTCTATAGTTTTACATACTGTCGAATGGTGAACGCCGTGGATGCCTTTAACAGACATTAAGTTAATTCATACTGATTTTAAGGTATTCCTCTGTTTATTCAGCTAAAAAGAAGGAAGTACTGGAAAACCCTAAGTGAAGCCTTATATCTGTTAATTACTTGAAACTGAATGAGTTTACTTAATACTATAAGTAGACTCTTCTTTATGAAGTAGTTACTGACTTTTTATTCAATGTTTATCAAATAAATAAGCATCAAATAACAAGAAGTATAAACAAATACTTTTTTTATTCAATAGACCTATTTTCATATGCATAATATGGAACGGAAAACGAATAAAACTTTGACGTTTCAAAAGGTCTTGTCAACTTTTGGGGTAGTGGGGCTGTAAAGGAGGGTGAGTCGCAATTTCCTAATGAAAGTATATTGCAACACTTTCTATCCCGGGGATTCTGCGCACCCATTAGACATATTTCACACATCCCCGCCTTTGAAAATAGGAAGGCGCGAGTCGAGAATATCTGCTTGGTGCAGCAAATTCTGACTGCATATGACTGCATCGCTAGTGCTCTCGATTTCGAGTTATAGCAGAGTTGCTAGATTCCTTGCAAGAAAGAGCATGTAGCAGTGAATGCGATATACACATACGACCTGGGCATATTACCTTTATACATGATGTCCCAAAAGTCATTGATCGAATGAAAGGGGGTAATAGGGGGTAATTTTCAATCACAAAAACTACATATTTCGTTATTCAATTGTGCACGGTCTATCGCAGCGGTCGGCAAGCTTTTGAGACGGAAGAGCCAAAAGTTACAATTTACAAAAACCAGCAATTGCATTTGAAACGAACCAGCATTAATTCTAAGTGGCTCAGTGTTGATCTCATTTATATTTGTGTTGAGAGGATTTACTGTGAACTGGAGAGCCTCAAAAGCAGCCGTATGCGGCTCGCGAGCCGCAGGTTGGCGACCCCTAGTCTATCGCCATTTTTTAGCAGTTTAAGAAGATCGCTACTTTTGAGATTGGACTTTTTTTTTCTGAAGTGGTCTTTTATTACTATTTCTCTCTCAACTTTACAGGGTACGTTGCCAAATAATGTATCGTTGAAAAAAACTGTTGAAAAATTTGTCCGGGTTATATAGGTAAAGCAATCGGCTAAACCTACGTATTTTTGATGCTGTTGCACCTCAAGTAAAAGTTGTACTAGGAGTTGTTTCGAAAGCGTGAAAATATAATATACAGAGAAAGAAAACTATACAAGGTGCTTCTGTTAATGATCATGACTATGTTTCCCTTGATGTAAGAATATGGTAAAATAAATAGTTGCTATTTTAATCATTTCATCTTTTTAGACCTTCAGATGAGAATTCGAAAAATGTAATTGGACTGTAGAACTATTGCAGGAAATCATGAAATAAATACAACTGTATCAATATACGAGTAGTGTTCGTGAATACAGGCATCCGTCATCTGTTGGAAACGCAGCGAAGATGTAGAAATAAGGGAAACAGCGAGGAAGCTGAAAGCGGTTGTGGGAGGGAAATGAATAATGTGGCTTATGGTTCATACAATGAGGGTAAGATACTGAAAAATAACAAATTTATATTTGTTTCATATAAAAAGATTTCAGATGGTCAAATGAATGTTTTAAGGCATTCCCTTAGGTATGCTATATCAGCAATTTGGTGCTGTGGTATTATGTATCAAGAAAAGATGAAATTCGATTAAGTATATTTTGTTGTTATTATTTTTATAATAATAAATATGGCGTGGTGACGGGTCGTTTCTACATTTGGGTAAAGGTAGAAGTTTTGATGTGATTGGTTAAGTTAGCTCAAATTACGGCTACTGGAAAGGACAACATTTCTATTGAGTCACTTCATAATCAATAAAACTGAGGTGCAATATGATAATTTTCTAATAAACGTTTTTATCTATGTCATTGAAAGTATGCACGTATGGGAATAAATATAATCAGCGCTTGGTATAGACTGTTCTGAATAAGATCCTGAGTACAGTTCATACTTCAATACAAAGGTGGCACTTGCTGCTATTAAATAGAAGTGAAAACGTAATGAAGTATCGTGAAGATCGCCGTATATGCCACTTTTTGTACAACCATACCCTTTACATGCTTCAGCTGGTTCTATGATACCAATATACAACATTTCATATGTCCAGAAAATTCTCCTCGCTCGTAATCGATTCAATTCATGAAAGTGACAATTTCGGAAGTGTGTTTCTTAATGAGCATGTTGCGTGTTTTGCCGCAACAGATACATATGTCAGGGTGCACGACATTCTTTTGTCTGGTCTGTGGTGAAAAATACTATCGCAAAAGACGTGTTCCATTATTACGACCAAACAGTAACATCAAAAAGCAAGAGACGTTGTAACTTTAGGGTAGGGCATATGCTCATTAAAACTTCGTAGTTTCCCCTTTCTGATCCTGATGATCATGCTTGTTAGATTTGAGTATTAATTATCGATAAAGTTAGTGTTTTACAACACAAAGAAAAACAATAATTACGACTTACATGCCACATGTATTTGCCTTCTGTCTTGTGCTGTTCCGCCTGGAAATCTGGGATTATCTGCTCGACAAACCAACTCTTTTCCGTCATCGTCTGGCGATACGTTCAGAGTTAGAAGACTTCCCGTAAATGTTTCTGTTTCTTCTTCCTTAAGATAGAGATTCATTGTTACTATGATTGCTCGCTGCAGATTAGCTCTAGCGCTTATCGGAGATGGCAGAGTATGAGAATGTGTTGGCACCCCGTTGCTACCTTGCTACCTTTCAGATTTCAAATGCTTCATCATACAAAAGATGCTACGGCATGCCGATACCTTCCGTAGCGTAATTTCACATATTTCATAACGGATATCTCCAAGACGGCTTCTTCCTTCAGGAAGGATTCTTTCCTCTCAGTATCAGAGAGCATACTGTTAATACCGCGGCATACAAAAGATGCTACGGCATGCCAATACCTCCCGTAGCGGGACCTCACAGCATGCTCTCTAATACCTTCAGGAAGGATTCTTTCGTCTAGGTATCAGAAAACATGCTATCAAGACCGCGGCATACAAAAGGTGCTACGGCTTGCCAATACCTCCCGAAGCGGGAATTCATAGCATGCTCTCCGATACCTTCAGAAGAGATTCTTCCCTTTCGGTATCAGAGAGCATGTTGTGGGTAGCGCATCATACAGAAGACGCTACATCCTGAAGACAGCTCCCATTGCAGTATCTCATAGCATGCTCTCCAGGAAGAGTTTTTCCCCCTCGGTATCGGAGCGCATGCTGTGGATACCACGGCATACCGACACCTCCTGTAGCGGGATCTTACAGCATCCTCTCCAGGAAGGATAATTCTCTCTTGGTATGAGAGAGCATGCTGTGGATACCGCGGCATGCAAGAGATGCAATAGCTTACCAACACCTCTCATTGCGGAATCTCACAGCTTGTTCTCGGTTATGTCCAGGAAGGATTCTTCTCTCAATGTACCAGAGAGCATGCTCTTAATACCGCGGCATACAAAAGATGCTACGGCATGCCAATCCCTCCCGTAGCGGGACCTCACAGCATGCTCTGTAATACCTGCAGGAAGTATTCTTTCCTCTAGGTATCAGCAAGCATACAAAAGGTGCTACGGTATGTCAATACCTCTCGAAGCGGGAATTCATAGCATGCTCTCCGATACCTTCAGGAAGGATTCTTCCCTTTCGGTATCGGATAGCATGCTGTGGCTAGCGCGGTATACAGAACGCTACGGTATGCCCACAGCTCCCATTGCGGTATCTCATAGTATGCTCCCCTAGAAGAGTTTTTCCATCTCGGTACCGGAGCGCATGATCTGGATACCACGGCATACCGACACCTCTCCTGGGATCTCACTACATCCTTGCTGATACCTCCAGAGAGGATAACTCCCTCTCGGTATGAGAGAGCATGCTGTGGATACCGCGGCATATAAAAGATGCTACAGCATATCGATACCGCTCTTTGCGAGATCATCTCAGAGCATGCGCTCCGTTTTGCCCAGGAAGAATCCTTCCCTCTCGGTATTGGAGAGGATGTTGGAGATACCGCGGCATAAAAAAGAATGCTACGGCACTTCCCACAGCGGGATACCACAGCATGTCTCTGATATCTGCAGGAAGGATTCTTCTCTCTCGGTATCATACAGCATACTCTGGAACAGGTTCCGCCATTTACCGGCATGAAAATATCCATCAGATCTGCTAGCTGTAGTAGACATGCGACGAAATGCCGACTAACGCTTGCAGTACCGCAGGGGTTGTTTTTATAAGTATGCATTTTAGGGAGAAAGGAAAGGTACCTCCCTACGTTCCCTCAGTGTGCGTTACCCTCAATATTTTGCGTTTGAGCTATGAGATAAGAAATTTGACATTACTAAGCTCTACAATAGAAATAATCAATAGGTCCTTTTACATTTTCGCAAACTTACCGTAATGACGGCGTTCCTAATCGCTTTTCCATCCAAAAGCCACGTTAATTTAGCTGGAGGATATGATCCAGATGTCTCGCATCTAACTGTCTGAGATTTTCTCGTTGAAAGAAGATCATTAGGTGTGACGATTTTCACTTTATTGGGTTTCACTGAAACAAAATCGCAATCAATGAACATATAACTGACAAAGCGAAATGATAATAAAATCATTGAGTAACAGAGTTCTCCTATAAATATGTTTCGGATACTACAAGTTCTATGCTACTTTTACATTTTCGGTACTAATTTCAAGCAGAAACTTCAAAACAGCTTGGAATAATTTCAAGCCAGAATACTGCAAAACATTGGTAGACACTATGCGAAGAAGAATCGATCCTGTATTAGAACGAAAAGGTGACGGCACTCAGTCGTAACTTTTCAAAAACGTTTGGTCCACCTAATATGCGCCACACATAATTTTTTTTGTTTCGTTTATTATAGTAGTTTGAAAATATAACAAATATTGTTGATTAATTGGTAATAATATATAGTTTCAAATTATCTAAGTTGTTTTTGTTCAAGTTATTTTGAATAAATAAAAATTAGTTCACAAATAGAACATTCGATAAATATTTTTCGTTGGTCCTACTCATATGCGACTGGGTTTGAATCAATAAACTGTCAACACTGATGGAACAGGCGTAACGCGAATTCATTGCGGCTAGAATGAGAAACGAGAAGGATAGCGCTAGTCAGGGCAAGACATTGGCAAAACATCGTGGTCCATTGTGGTATTTCCATATATGTTCTAAGGATTTTTGGTGAATGTTTGTTTTTAGTGACGTTAAAGATTAATAGTGATAGTTTGCGACAATTATTATAATCATGTTTGTGCCGGACAGCCTTCAAGAGCTGTTGTTTTATGTGATATTTGTTTAAAAATGGTTCAATCTTGCAGTGCGGTGAATTGTTGCAATAGACGCATAAAACATGTGAAAATGAAGTTTCACAGGTTGGTTTTAATCATCTCATTCATTTTTGTGTGAGAATTACCTGTTAATTGGTAATTTGAGAAAATATTTGGATTTTTAGGATACCTACAGATCCTAACAGGAGGAAGTTGTGGTTACATGCTTTAAGAAGAGAAAACTTTACTCCCACTACAAAAACGGTAATTTGTGAAAAGCATTTCACTCCAGAGGATTATGAAGTTAGTGTTCATGGAAATAAGGTACTAAAAAAGGTGCCAATTCCATCTGTGTTTGATTTTCCAGCCCATCTCAAAAAGAACCTAGCCATCGAAGGGTTTTGAAAAGAAAACATAAATACATAATTTCTAGAATGAACTATGGTATAACCTATATTGTATTATAATGAAAAACTGTGCCTCTACAGTATTGTTATTGCCATTGTGCACAAATATTTTGTATATATATGTATGAGCAGTAGTCATTGCCAAAGCCAACGACTAGTTGGGTACAAAATACAATTACTCGTTAATTGGGAAATTGGCAAAACTTTTATGCTTAAGTTGACTCTTTTGACGATAAAATCAACAAGCCCAATGTCCCCGTCCTTTTGTTTTTATACTGATCACAAGTTCGATCTTCTCTACGTTCTTTCTGAAACACCTTGTGGCTGCAACCTCACCGACGAGTAAGTTGTCTGACATTTTAAATCTGTCCTGTTTTCTTTGCTAGCATCACAATTGTGTTTTCAGAATCCTGATGATGGCTCCATAGAGAATGCCGAAAGCTTGATTTTATCGTCAAAAGAGTCATCTTAAGCATAAAAGTTTTGCCAATTTCCCAATTAACAAGTAATTGTATATATATATATATATATATAAGGGTTTTTTCTTTGTACACTTTAATCTCTACAAAACTGGACGTGTTCCCACTACATTTAAAATAATATAAATTTAAATGTGCATAAATACTATTTGGAACATTATAAAGATATATAGAAAATAACATGTATTTATTGTGATATTTCTTAGAGCTCTTATATTTTATTTGTAAGATATAGCATATTAGAGCAGTTAAGTTAATTATAAGCAGACATGTAATCTCTTTGCTACCTGAATTATTAATTACTTATGTTAAATACTAATTTTTATATCTTCAAATGTGTAAAGGAGAATTTATTGGCAAGTTTCATACATATGTACATATAAATAAAAAAAACTTGGTTTTTTAATTATAATTACGTTTCCAGGATTTTATCTCGTTCCAGTTGCCTGAATAACTTTTAAATCTTCTCTAATAAAAAGACGGGTTTACACGGGTCAAGTAAACGGTCAAGTTGAGCAGTAAAGTCAAGTATTTTTTTCTACTTGCATGGTATGAACAATTTCGGTCAAGTAAAGTAGCGACTTGCGTCAAGTGACGAGGCAAGTCAAGTGGTTCTGCACGGTGAACAAGTAACTTTACTTGACTGCTAGAGTTCGAACAGCCTAAGGTTATGCCCGCTACGTCATCACTTTATACCCTCTCCCTTGCGTCGATTGTACCCTATAAGAATATAGAAAATTGTTGTGACAGTCTCTGGTAAGATTTATGGACATCTGTTACCGCCCTCTTAATGTGGTCCAGTTCTAATCGTGGCGAATATTTATATCGTAGGAAGCTTAAAAATGTATGTGGTCTTCAATGTCCAGAAATTATGTTGCTGTTGACACTGTTAAGGGACATCCCACTCTCAGAAAGCCATAGGCGGAACGTTTTTTAGTGCAAGTTTCAGTCAGTTGAGATTGTTGACACAATTGGGATCTGATGAGACGTTTCTTCGACTTATTTATTTTTTTATTTATTAACCATATCATATTTTATATTTGATTGTGTTGAAAATTATTAATCTTATGGGGTTTGTGGATATTTGATGGAGATCCATAAATCAAAAAAGAACATCTTCTCGACGATCAAATGGATACGTATCAATTCAATGTGAACACAGGGTCATCATCAGAAGATAGTGACGAAAGCGACTCAGATGAAGATTTGAAGCTAAACACACTATCATCTGATAGCGATTAGATTTTTTAATGATAATATATAATTTGAATTATAACCGTCTTTAGTTTGCTCCCTCTTCTAATTCAAATTTGCTTCCGAACAACTTAATGCGCATACTAAATGAATATAATAATACAAAAATCAATTAATGATCAATGTCTACACAACCTATTCACTTTATTTTATACTTCAAATAAAATAGAACGCCACTGCACTCTGTCGACGACCGCGTGATGAGCGGACCCGCCCACGATGACGTAGCGGTCATATTCTAAGAGCGTTCGAACCCTACCCCCACTTCTACTTTATCATTGGATCGCCAACTTGACCGTCTACTTTACCAATGTAAACAGACAAAGCAACTAAGTAAACAAGTTCCTGCGCATGGAATGTGGATTTGTACTGTCTGGGGTTTTTCAGATTTCCTATCCATTTTGATCACAGATAACCAAATAATTTTGGTGATTTTGGTATACTACGAATTGTGAATTGAGGTTTAATTTGTACAAGATGAAGTGGTCAGAAGAAGAAACCATGCGTTTCGTTGAACTCTATAGTGAAAAAGAGTGTTTATGGAAGAAGAGTAGTGTAAATTATCGCAATAAAAACATGCGAAAAGCAGCTGAAGAGGACATCGTGAACAGGATGGGAAAGGAAGGTTTTGGAGTGACAGAATTAAAGCAAAAAATAAAGATAATGAGAACAACTTATAATCAGGAAGCGCTGAAAGTTAAAAAGTCTAAGAAATCAGGAGGTAAACCGGATGATATATACGTTCCAACTGCCAAGTGGTTCCGACAAATGGAAGAAATAATGGATAGCTCCACAGCTGAAAATGAAACGGAAAGCATAGTAAGTCAAAAGTGTATATTTTTTCTTTAATAACTGGTAATTAATTTATAAAATAACGCTGCCAAGGCACTGCTCCTTCTTCCGAAATGAAATAATCCCTCATTTTGTTTCGCATGTGTTTTGCCATCTCCGACGCCCTCCTCTCAGTTCCCCCCTGTATGTTTCTCAGTTCTCGTATCTCTTGTCTCGACTGTCCAGGTATTATTTCGCCAGTGTGTTGGTTTTCACAATCAACCAATTGTGCATCATTGAAGTATTGATCTGGTGACGTTTTTCGTAGCCAGTTGTGAATTGCAATGGCAGCACTAACTAGTTTATTCACAGAGGACACTTTTATCTTTACTTTTGTTTCAAAAACACGAAATCTACTTACTAAGATTCCAAAACCATTTTCCACTATTCTTCTGGCACGACTAAGCCGATAATTGAAAATCTTTTCTTCATCGGTAAGAGGTAGTCGGTATCTACTATATGGTTTAAGTAGATAGGGTTTTAGTGGAAAAGCATCATCACCAACTAAAAAGTAACCATCGGGTAGTAATCCTTCTTCTAGAGCTCCTGAGATTTCGCAGTTTTGAAAAGTACCACCATCTGAGTTGGATCCCGTTGTCCCTACTTTAAAATAAGAAAAACAGTAATTGTGATCTACAATTGCCATTAGTACCACGCTGAAGGAACCTTTATTGTTGAAGTATTCACTTCCAGTATGTAAGGGAGCCTCGATCAAGACATGTTTGCCATCAATGGCACCACAACAGAAAGGAAAATTCCATCTTACTTCAAACCCATTCGCAACTTTCTTCCATGCATCATGTGTATCAGGAACCTAAAAAATGAACATTATGAGCATATAATTTGTATGATTAATTAATCATTGAGCAAATGAGAAGTATTAAATTAGTATTTCATTCATTTCAGGAGACAGAAATCGCTCCACCTAGCGAAAATGAACAAGGTCTGCTAGAGGAGCAAGTCATTGAAGAACCATCTCCAACTCTCTTGCAAACTCCTACAAGACCTTCGACCAGCAAAACATGCTCCCGAGTAGAATCGACCGGTAAGAAAGGTTCTCGAGTAGAAGCAGGATCAAAAAATAAAAAACCACGGCTACAAGCCTTAACTGAAGCTGTTGCATAGGTCCGAAAAGCCCAGGAAACATTAATAACTTCTCAATCCATCAGTGACAATGAAGCTTTTGGCAAGTTTATTGCAGCCAGTTTAGATAAACTGCCCCCTGCTGATTCAATCATGGCGCAAGGTGCACTTCAAAGAGTGATACAAAAATATCGATTGAATGCGTTAAATAAGAGCAGTTCTGCTTCTGAGGCTTCC